TGCCTGCCGCCGCCTGTGGCTTAACATCCGCAGCCGACTGACGCCACATGATCTTCAACTTCGCCTGACTACACTTGTCACTGACAGCTGCAGCATAAGGTGCAACCCTGGTCTGCCTTTGCAGGAAGTTGGAGTCACGCACAGCGATGATATCCTGCGCCCTGTCAGCAACCTCCCTGGAGGCTAGGCGACGCGCTCTTGAATAGAAAGCCGCTGCTTCCATAACCAGGTCAGGGGAAGCTTCAGGAATATTATGTAGCTCTGACACGAAGCTATGCAAATCGGGCCAGATACCCACAACATCCGAAGGCGTCTCCACCCCTTCCGCAGTCAAGAGCTGTAAAATCTCAGGTCGCACCACCGAACACCAATGACTCAAGCTCGTGGCCATGGCTGGAGCAGGAAAAGAAAGGAATGTTGCACTGCTCAGCTCGGGCCCCGATGCTGCAGCAGTGTAATGGATGATCGCACTTCAAGCTTCAAACAGACTCCTGCCCAACCAACCTACTTGTTTGAATGCAAAGTAGCAACCTTGAAATTGTCAAGCTTACAGTCGTCCAAGATGGGGTTCCCGGACTGGGGTCGGAAAGAATCCACTGTCTCTAATGGGTCAGCGTAGTCTGGCGCTTCTTCAGCCGGTGCCTCATCGCTGAATCCCGCGAGATCTGGTGAACCTTCACGGGAACGAGGTGGCAAGGTGGCAAGTTCATCCGGGTCATAGCGATCTACTTCTATGGCATATTCGTTGGATCTGGTCCTCTGGTCTTTGGGTCTGGTCCTGTGGTAGTCTGGCTCAAAAATTAACTAACACATGATGCTCTGGATGCTTGCTTTGAGATGCTTCTTGATGCTTGTTGATTGACTTCTTCTTCGCCAGAGCGATTGTATTCTGAAAAAACCCTAAATCCATATCAGCCCCACTATAATAATCTGGCTCAAAATCAAGATGCCCCTGATGCTCCGTGATGCTTCTGATACTTCTCGATTGACTTGATGCTGCGATGATCACTGATGCTTAGCCAGCCCGAGTGCATTCTGAAATGAAAAAAACCCTAGACTCCTATCCGCC